GACGAGGTGAACACGTGCAGATGACGTCACTTCCATTGCTGGACGAGGTGAACACGTGCAGATGACGTCACTTCCATTGCTGGACGAGGTGGACACGTGCAGATGACGTCACTTCTATTGCTGGACGAGGTGAACACGTGCAGATGACGTCACTTCCATTGCTGGACGAGGTGAACACGTGCAGATGACGTCACTTCCATTGCTGGACGAGGTGAACACGTGCAGATGACGTCACTTCCATTGCTGGACGAGGTGGACACGTGCAGATGACGTCACTTCCATTGCTGGACGAGGTGGACACGTGCAGATGACGTCACTTCCATTGCTGGACGAGGTGGACACGTGCAGATGACGTCACTTCCATTGCTGGACGAGGTGAACACGTGCAGATGACGTCACTTCCATTGCTGGACGAGGTGAACACGTGCAGATGACGTCACTTGCATTGCTGGACGAGGTGAACACGTGCAGATGACGTCACTTGCATTGTTGGACGAGGTGAACACGTGCAGATGACGTCACTTCCATTGCTGGACGAGGTGAACACGTGCAGATGACGCCACTTCCATTGCTGGACGAGGTGAACACGTGCAGATGACGTCACTTCCATTGCTGGACGAGGTGAACACGTGCAGATGACGTCACTTCCATTGCTGGACGAGGTGAACACGTGCAGATGACGTCAAAGTGCCGTGGGGGGTTATTTGGGTAGCGAGAGAGACGGTCACGCGATCGTTTTGCTGACGAATTGAGCCTCGCCCAGGGAGTTCATTCACGGGGTTTGTTTATGCATAATGTACACAAATATTTTACTACAGTATTTATTTCTAGCAGGTAAGTCGGGGATGTTAACTACCTCGCTTGGTCTAGAGGAGGTCGTGGGTTCGAACCCGACCCTAACACCTGCTGCTCTATATTTGGAGTTCGCGTCTCCCTCTCTCCCCGTGGTCGCGTTGATTTTTCTCCGGTTTAAAATCAACGTAGCGCGTTTAGACTCTTTGACTGCTGCTATAAATGTCCGAGTGATGATGATGATGATCACGAGCCAACTTCGTCGAACCTTCATTCGTGAAAAAAATAACTCCACAGCCACTCAGTTAGTGGGGCCCTTCGTGGTTAAATGTTTTTTTTAAACGTTGTTTAGTTTGTTATTATTTTAGTTTTTACAAGGGTACATCTTCTTTGGTTCTTTCGGTAAAGTCACGTAGAATGATAATAAAATAATAAATTGATAAAATAACACAATAATATTTATCAATTTATTATTTTATTATCATTCTACGTGACTTTACCGAAAGAACCAAAGAAGATTAATCATTGCAGTCACGAAAGCTTTAAATCGAAATTTACAAGGGTAGTTCAGGGGCCGAGTTCTGCTGTGGCAACGCACGTGTTGCTGATTTAATATCGGACGAAGCCGGCGGCCAGTAACCTGCCTTGCCTAAGCCAACTCAACAGAACGCCAGCGGTGAAGGCAGATCGGCAGGGATTTGAGCCTGGGCAGTGCCAGGATGGGTGCACAGAGTTCTATTGCATGAAAAAAATATAATAACCTTTCTGGCAATGAAACAGCGGTGGCGTTACGATGTTCCACTTTTTCAAGGAGTCAAGTTCCGCATGAAGCGCACGTGGTGCTCGTGGTGAACATTCAAAGCAACGTCGCCTCGTCATCATGATCCGTGTTCTACGGCGTTGTCATTGAAACGGGGTGTGTGTAGTGTGTCAGAGCAGAGCAGAGAACGCCAAAACGTGAACGGCACAGCAGGACAATGAATGCCACGATCCAGAGCATTTATAGCTCGGGTCGAGCAGCTGTTTTACGGGACCCCTTTGTCCAGTTTCACAGGATGAATAATGAGAAGAGTTTTTTTAACCTTTCTATCAATACACCCAGAGACAGCAGACTTCTGTATAGCCTTGTGCCACCACCAGTGTGGGAACAGGGAACGCCAAAACGTGGACGGCACAATGGCAATGCAAGCATCCAGGGGTGGAGCCGCAGGGGGGCTGGGGGGGGCTCAGCCCCCCCCCCCCCTGAAATTTTGGGAAAGTCGGTAATCGGGATAACCGGATATCCGGCTGCTGCAAAATGCTGCAGGCTGCCACCTTGTGTGCTGCCCTGCAGGCTGCCACCTTGTGCTGCCCTGCAGGCTGTCACCTCGTGCTGCCCTGCAGGCTGCCACCTCGTGCTGCCCTGCAGGCTGCCACCTTGTGTGCTGCCCTGCAGGCTGCCACCTTGTGTGCTGCCCTGCAGGCTGCCACCTTGTGTGCTGCCCTGCAGGCTGCCACCTTGTGTGCTGCCCTGCAGGCTGCCACCTTGTGTGCTGCCCTGCAGGCTGCCACCTTGTGTACTGCCCTGCAGGCTACCACCTTGTGTGCTGCCCTGCAGGCTGTCACCTCGTGCTGCCCTGCAGGCTACCACCTCGTGCTGCCCTGCAGGCTGTCACCTCGTGCTGCCCTGCAGGCTACCACCTCGTGCTGCCCTGCAGGCTGTCACCTCGTGCTGCCCTGCAGGCTGTCACCTCGTGCTGCTGCCCTGCAGGCTACCACCTCGTGCTGCCCTGCAGGCTGCCACCTTGTGCTGCCACCTTGTGTGCTGCCCTGCAGGCTGCTTGAACGGCAGCCTTTCGAACTTATCAGCCACATCAGCGGCTCCGACCTTTTAATAAACTCCGCGTTCAAATCCAATACAAATTTGTTTTATACATTGGAAAACAAACACACTGTGGATATCTCAGAATATTGAAGTCAGCCCCCTCCCAAAGTCAAAATCCTGGCTCCGCCCGTGCAAGCATCGGAACACTTATAGCTCGGGTCGAGCAGTTACATCACGGGATACCCTTTTTGCCCGGCATCAAAATGATGGGGAAAATTAAAATAAGAATCGGTTTTTAACCTTTCTAGCAACGAAACAGGAGTTGTGTTAAGCTGTTCAAACACCAAATAACGTTAGCAAGGAATCAAGTATCGCATTAACCACGCGCGGTGCTTGTGGTGAACATGCAAACAGACATTGCTCTGATGATAATGTTACACGCATTGTCTTTGAAACTGATTGTCCTACACCGGAGAGAGTAGCCTTCTTTATAGCCTCGTCTCGCCACCATCTGTGTGAGACCAGGGGACGCCAAAAGGCGAATAGCACAGAGACGCACTCTGGCACTTTCGGTAGAGTCACATAGAAATTAAACAAATCACGACGTCATCTGCTCGAGCACCAATTGGGTCGAGGCTCAAAAGAAAGCCGTCCCTTGGTGTGGACCAATCAGCTTCAAGGACAATGCCACGTATGTTATCATAGTGTGTGTTTATTGTTTGCATTTTTGACTGCAGGTATTGTGGTCAATGCCGTAAACATGAATCCTTGTAAGAAGGTTTCAGTTTTGTTTCCAGAAAAAAGGGGGAAAAACCCTATTATTACAAGATGTTTATTTTGATTTAAAGCTTTCGTGACTGCAGTAATTCATATTCTTAGCTCTTTCGGTAAAGTCACGTTGAAGGGAAACAACAAAATAATAAAATATATATAAAACAATAAAATTTCTCACGACGTTTCGACCATAACACAAACGGTCGTCTTCAGGTGACGACCGTTTGAGTTATGGTCGAAACGTCGTGAGAAATTTTATTGTTTATATATATTTTATTATTTTGTTGTTTCCCTTCAACGTGACTTGACCGAAAGAGCTAAGAATAAGATGTTTTTTGTTTTTGTTTGTTGCGGTTGCACCCGATTCAAGAGCCGAATGGCTCACAGGGCTATACCAAATAAATTAAACTGAAACCTAAACTGTGTTGGCTGATTCCCCGATCCGACTCGAGGGAGAGAGACCGGAGCTAGCCGAGCTAAGAACAGACAGAGAGACGGTTCGTGTGAGGGACCTAGTGAAGGACTCCCACCCCTGGGGGAAGTTGTCTAAACCCTTAATTAAAAAAAACTGTCGCAAGCCCTTACATGAACATCTGAGTCATCACTTACACCTCAACACATGTGGCGGTGACACTCGGGTACCGCTTGGCGTGGCCAAGCCAGGAGGGCTTCTGCCTGGCCACGACGACTTGGGGATTCAGCCATCACGAGGCGTCTTCATCCCAGGCACGAACAGCCCCGCTCCCTCAGCGGGGCCCGCTTATGAGCTTCCCCGGCGTGGCCTGCCCACGCCCCCCTTCTCGAACCCTCGAGAAGGCTCCGGAACCCCAGCCACGTGACCCCAAGGTCCCCCCTGGGCCCCACCTTGATCCGGCAGTGACGTCATCCGACCCGACATGGTAGTGACGTCATGTGTGTGCAGACCCGACATGGTAGTGACGTCATATGTCACTACACTTTGATGCTGGCAAAAAAAAATTAAGTCTCAGTGTTCTGTAGCTCAGTCGTGGGCCGTACCCGGTTGGTAAAATGACAGTAAAAGGCAATCCAATCGTTCGTTTCGTTTAAAGTTTCTTCTCGGCCAGAACCCAACCCGAACACCGCACCCACTCGAACCAGCTCCTGTCTACACAAGTGGCGTGTCCCCTCTGAAGAGGTCAAACATACCCCCACCACCCATTACCACCACCACCACCCTCACCACCACCACCACCACCCATTACCACCACCACCACCCTCACCACCACCACCACTATCACCACCACCCATTACCACCACCACCACCCATTACCACCACCACCCTCACCACCACCACCACCCATTACCACCACCACCACCCCCACCCATTACCACCACCACCACCACCCATTACCACCACCCCCACCCATTACCACCACCACCACCCATTACCACCACCCATTACCACCACCACCACCACCCATTACCACCACCACCACCCCCACCCATTACCACCACCACCACCCCCCACCACCACCCCCACCACCACCCCCCACCACCCCCACCCCCGGCCGACCCCCCCCAGGGGGGTTGGGCCAGGCAGGCGAGGAGGCGGCGGATTGGCCGCCCCGTGAGTCGTCACTGGCGGCCCCGTGGCCTATAAAGAGACAGCGGGGGGGGGGGGGCGAGCTCGCTTCTGACAGCCGTGAAACACTCGGGGTGTGACAGCCGTGCAGGGTGCACGCTCCCTGTCTCTCTCTCTCCCTGTGTCTCTCTGCCTCTATCCCTGTCTCTCTCTCCCTGTCTCTCTCCCTGTCTCTCTCTCCCTGTGTCTCTCTCTCTCCCTGTCTTTCTCGTGCCCGACAGGGCTCCGTTGGCATCCCTCTGCCTCGCCCGCCCCCCCCAGCAAGGTGAACAAATTCACGACTCGTGCCATCACCGGTAAGAGCCACCGCGTTCGCGAATAGCGCGACTCTGTCTGTGTGTGTGTCTGTCTGTGTGTGTGTGTCTGTCTGTGTGTGTCTGTCTGTCTGTGTGTGTCTGTGTGTCTGTCTGTGTGTATGTCTGTGTGTGTGTCTGTGTGTGTGTCTGTGTGTGTGTCTGTGTGTGTGTGTCTGTGTGTGTGTGTCTGTGTGTGTGTCTGTCTGTGTGTGTCTGTCTGTGTGTGTCTGTCTGTGTGTGTGTCTGTGTGTGTGTCTGTGTGTGTGTCTGTGTGTGTGTGTCTGTGTGTGTGTCTGTGTGTGTGTCTGTGTGTGTGTGTCTGTGTGTGTGTGTCTGTGTGTGTGTGTCTGTGTGTGTGTGTCTGTGTGTGTCTGTGTGTGTGTGTGTCTGTGTGTGTGTCTGTGTGTGTGTGTCTGTGTGTGTGTCTGTGTGTGTGTCTGTGTGTGTGTGTGTCTGTGTGTGTCTGTGTGTGTGTCTGTGTGTGTGTGTGTGTCTGTGTGTGTGTGTGTGTCTGTGTGTGTGTGTGTGTCTGTGTGTGTGTCTGTGTGTGTGTGTCTGTGTGTGTGTCTGTGTGTGTGTGTCTGTGTGTGTGTGTCTGTGTGTGTGTGTCTGTGTGTGTGTGTCTGTCTGTGTGTGTGTCTGTCTGTGTGTGTGTGTCTGTCTGTGTGTGTGTGTCTGTGTGTGTGTGTGTGTCTGTGTGTGTGTCTGTCTGTGTGTCTGTCTGTGTGTGTGGGGGGAGTTTTGTTGGATGATCGGGGTTAGATCGTGTATGTACATATATAATGTGCGTGTGTGTCTGTCTGTGTGTGTCTGTGTGTCTGTGGCGCTGTGTGTCTGTGTGTCTGTCTGTGTGTGTGTCTGTGTGTGTGTCTGTCTGTGTGTGTCGTTAAACTCCCCCACCCCACACGCAAACTCCAAATAAACAGCTGCAAGCGTTGTCAGGGTCGGGACCGATCTCAGGACCTCCTGTATACCAGGCGAGGTAGTTAACATCTCCTAGCCACCGTGATGATGATGAGAGAGAGACACAGACCTCCTGTATACCAGGCGAGGTAGTTAACATCTCCTAGCCACCGTGATGATGATGAGAGAGAGACACGGACCTCCTGTAGACCAGACGAGGTAGTTAACATCTCATAGCCACTGTGATGATGATGATGAGAGAGACACAGACCTCCTGTAGACCAGGCGAGGTAGTTAACATCTCCTAGCCACTGTGATGATGATGAGAGAGAGACACAGACCTCCTGTAGACCAGACGAGGTAGTTAACATCTCATAGCCACCGTGATGATGATGAGAGAGAGAGACACAGACCTCCTGTATACCAGGCGAGGTAGTTAACATCTAATATCCACCGTGATGATGATGAGAGAGAGACACAGACCTCCTGTATACCAGGCGAGGTAGTTAACATCTCATAGCCACCGTGATGATGATGAGAGAGACACAGACCTCCTGTATACCGGGCGAGGTAGTTAACATCTCATAGCCACCGTGGTGATGATGATGATGATGAGAGACACAGACCTCCTGTAGACCAGACGAGGTAGTCAACATCTCATAGCCACCGTGATGATGATGAGAGAGAGACACAGACCTCCTGTATACCAGGCGAGGTAGTTAACATCTCATAGCCACTGTGAAGATGATGAGAGACACAGACCTCCTGTATACCAGGCGAGGTAGTCAACATCTCATAGCCACTGTGAAGATGATGAGAGACACAGACCTCCTGTAGACCAGGCGAGGTAGTTAACATCTCATAGCCACTGTGATGATGATGATGAGAGAGAGACACAGACCTCCTGTATACCAGGCGAGGTAGTTAACATCTCCTAGCCACCGTGGTGATGATGGAGAGAGAGACACAGACCTCCTGTACACCATGCGAGGTAGTCAACATCTCATAGCCACTGTGATGATGATGATGAGAGAGAGACACAGACCTCCTGTATACCAGGCGAGGTAGTTAAGATCTCATAGCCACTGTGAAGATGATGAGAGACACAGACCTCCTGTAGACCAGGCCAGGTAGTTAACATCTCATAGCCACCGTGATGATGATGAAAGAGAGACACAGACCTCCTGTATACCAGGCGAGGTAGTTAACATCTCCTAGCCACCGTGATGATGATGAGAGAGAGACACAGACCTCCTGTAGACCAGGCGAGGTAGTCAACATCTCATAGCCACCGTGGTGATCCTTATACTCGCCACCACCACCCGACACAACCCATTAGTAAGGGGTTTGTGTCACGCAAACACAAACGTGGCCAATTCCTTACTTAGTTCATCACTAACCGGTTGTGTGTTCGACAGTAAACCCACTACAACATTTACAATTTACCACAACAACAATCACCACAACAGCAACAACAACCACAACAGCAACAACAATAACCAGCAGCACCATCTGGCGATAGCCACACAGTTAAAGTGCTCCTTCTGCTTCGGGTCTTTTACGCGATCTAACCCAAACAAACCGACTGTCGGGGATAATATTTGGCTCGAAAGCTTCCTACTACGACCACTCCGTGTTAAATTCTTAGCTCTTTCGGCAAAGTCACGTCGTTAATTATTACACCATGCTCACCACAAAGTACTGTGTGTGGTCAACGCAGACTTTGATGTCCTTGCAATAGGCCTGTAATCTAGTTGGTGTTTGAACATCTTAACACAACTCCACTTGTTATTTCAAGAAAGGATGTATAACCTATTCTTATTTTTTTCCCCATCATTTTCATGCTCAAAGCCCCGAGCTATAAGTGTTCTGATGCTTGCATTGCCCTTGTACTGTTCGCGTTTTAGCGTTTCCTGGTCTCACACTGGTGGTGGGACAAGGCTATAAAGAACTCTGCTGTCCCTGGTGTAGGCCATTCAGTTTCAATGACAATGCATGTAACGTCATCATCATTATTATTGTCACCAGAGCCATGTTTGTTTGCATGTTCACCACAAGGAACGTGGGTTGGTTCATGCAGAACTGACGTCTTGCAATAGGTGTGTGACTATTTCGTGCTTGAACATCATCACGGTGGCTATGAGATGTTAACTACCTCGCCTGGTATACAGGAGGTCTGTGTCTCTCTCTCATCATCGCGGTGGCTATGAGATGTTAACTACCTCGCCTGGTATACAGGAGGTCTGTGTCTCTCTCATCATCATCATCATCACAGTGGCTATGAGATGTTAACTACCTCGCCTGGTCTACAGGAGGTCTGTGTCTCTCATCATCATCACGGTGGCTATGAGATGTTAACTACCTCGCCTGGTATACAGGAGGTCTGTGTCTCTCTCTCATCATCATCACGGTGGCTAGGAGATGTTAACTACCTCGCCTGGTCTACAGGAGGTCGTGGGTTCGATCCCCACCCTGACGATGCATGCTGCTCTATATTTGGAGTCTGCGTGTCTCTCTCCACGTGGTAGTCGCGTGGAGTTGTCTCCGGGTCCTCCGGTTTTCCCGTCCATTTAGAATCAACGCCACGCGTCTCCGAGTATTTTGTCTGCTGCTATACATATCGACGTGATGATGATGATGATGGTTATAAGCCTACTTCGGTGAGCTATCACTCGTGATAGCCAGGTCGCTTCTGAAATAGAGCGACACAGCAGCTTAGTGGGGGCCTTAACTGGTAACAAAAAAAGAATTCGTATTTGGTTCTGTACGAGATAATTTGGATTGGGATAATTTAGATTATCTCTGTGTCTCTGGTTCTGTATGTGTCTGTGTGTCTCTATGGGTCTCTATGGGTCTCTGTGTTTAGGGTATTTGGCTCCTGCTATAATTGTCCACGTGATGGTGATGACGATGATGATGATAAGCCACTACGTTGAGCTGCTGTCATTTGTGATGGTCAGGTCAGGGCTTCTGAAAAAGAGCGACACAAACGCTCAGTGGGGCCCTTACCTGGTAACGATGAAAATAACCTTTTAGTTTAACACCTGTTTTATTGCCAGAAAATATGAAGGCTATTCTTGTTTTTTTCATCACACTGTATTTATGCTGAACACGCACACACGTACACAGATATACCGGCTCAGCCGCTTTGGCCGCATCTATTTAGCAAGCTACCGCCCAACACTGGACGACTCTACAAAGACAAAGATCCCCCGTATAGCCTGTAACAGACTTTGGAGCAAGTGCTGCTAGCGAGTAGCACCTACGAATGCCGGCACGGGACACGAAGGGGTGCGTGGCCAGCCCCATGCCCGGCCGCCTTTGTCTCCCTGTTGGCGATGCTTACACATCGCACCAGGTACTCATTTTAGGCTGAGTCGACCGAGGGGACGCCCAGGACCGGTTCAGATAATCACTGGTTGTGACCGCTGTGCCCACCACACAACTCTGAGCGGTGATTTGACTCTCATCTAAGTGGGAGTAATGAAACATGATTTATATTATTAGTACAGGGACTCGTCAACTCAGGAACGAGTTAGGTTCCAGAGGTCTGTGTTCGTAAGTCGATTTGTTCGTAAGTCCAACGTTACTCCTGTCCATTCCAAACGTGTTGTACGGTGTGTACACTAAACACGGGGAATGGCTTTAAAAGTTGTATAATCTCCTGTAGATGTAGATCCCACTGGTTCTTCGTGTTCTGCAGATGTAGATGTCACTGGTTGTTCATGTTCTGCCGATGTAGATGTCGCTGGTTCTTCACGTTCTGCAGATGTAGATGTCACTGGTTCTTCACGTTCTGTCGATGTAGATGCCACTGGTTCTTTACGTTCTGCAGATGTAGATGCCACTGGTTCTTCACGTTCTGCAGATGTAGATGCCACTGGTTCTTCACGTTCTGCAGATGTAGATGTCACTGGTTCTTCACGTTCTGTCGATGTAGATGCCACTGGTTCTTTACGTTCTGCAGATGTAGATGCCACTGGTTCTTCACGTTCTGTCGATGTAGATGCCACTGGTTCTTTACGTTCTGCAGATGTAGATGCCACTGGTTCTTCACGTTCTGCAGATGTAGATGCCACTGGTTCTTCACGTTCTGTAGATGTCGATGCCACTGGTTCTTTATGTTCTGCAGATGTAGATGCCACTGGTTCTTCATGTTCTGCAGATGTAAATGCCACTGGTTCTTCGTGTTCTGCAGATGTAGATGCCACTGGTTCTTCGTGTTCTGCAGATGTAGATGCCACTGGTTCTTTGTGTTCTGCAGATGTAGATGCCACTGGTTCTTCACGTTCTGCAGCTGTAGATGCCACTGGTTCTTCACGTTCTGCAGATGTAGATCCCACTGGTTCTTCATGTTCTGCAGATGTAGATGCCACTGGTTCTTCGTGTTCTACAGATGTAGATGCCACTGGTTCTTCACGTTCTGTAGAAGTAGATGCCACTGGTTCTTCGTGTTCTCCAGATGTAGATGCCACTGGTTCTTCACGTTGTGCAGATGTAGATGCCACTGGTTCTTCACGTTCTGCAGATGTAGATGCCACTGGTTCTTCGTGTTCTCCAGATGTAGATGCCACTGGTTCTTCACGTTCTGCAGATGTAGATGCCACTGGTTCTTCGTATTCTGCAGATGTAGATGTCACTCGTTCTTCGCGTTATGTAGATGTAGATGCCACTGGTTCTTCGTGTTCTACAGATGTAGATGTCACTGGTTCTTCACGTTATGCAAATGTAGATGCCACTGCTTCTTCGTGTTCTACAGATGTAGATGCCACTGGTTCTTCGTGTTCTACAGATGTAGATGCCACTACCGCCATCTATTGTTCGGCAGTTGAACAGGCAACCGGATATACGGACCAAGTTTGTTCGTATCTCTGAAAGTTCGTAAGTCGAATGTTCACAAGTTGAGGAGTCCCCTGTATATTTGATTATTGTATATCGTGGCCTCCTATCGGCTCTAATCCACATCACGTCCTTACCCTCTCACGGTTTCACACTCTCAGTCTTCGATAAAACATTTGCAGCCGCTACAGCTCCGTAGTAACACTCCCGATTTACAATGTCATTGACGCATTATCCCGTGAAATAAAAACAAGGGGTTCTTCACGTCCCCCACCTTCTTTCACCCAAGCTGCTACTCGTCATTCGTAGCGAATTAACGTTTCGCTGCGTTACATTTCTTCGTCACATCACTACGTTACATCACTACGTTACATTACTACATTACATTACTGCGTTTCTTTACCGTGTTACATCACTACATTACGTTACTACGTTACATCACCACGTTACATCACTGCGTTACATCAGGGCGTTACATCACTACTACGTTACGAAATATTGAGGGTTTTTTTTTATACCGAATTCGAAACTAAAAATGTCTCTTCTTCTTCCCGTTGTTCTGACAGCGCCGCCAGTAGGGCCCGGAAAACGGCACTTCTCTCGATCTTGGCGAAGGAACGCCCTTCGTGCCACGACGTCAGAGGCGCGAGAGCCATGAGGAAGCTGCTGTTTTTGAGGAGGCGTGGGGCTGTCGCCTCCGGCGACAACAACGGCAACCACCACCACCACCAGCAGCAACACACGGACGCGGCGCTGTCCACCGCCAAACCTCCGCGGTGAGTCCAGTGAAGCCTCCCGAGGAGCCGCCACCGCCAACCGGCCACCGTGCACGCCACGGCATCGGCCGATTAAAGAGAGTTCAGTGGGCCGACCGCCTCGTTAAGGACGCGGCCGTCAGTCCGGGGAGTTTTTGAGGGCTTGTCCGAAGAGCCACCGTTGAGTTTCACTCGCGTCTCCCTCCCCCATCTGCGTTAGTGGGTCAGGGTCAGGGGTTGTTCTCCGCCCGTCTTAGTTTTAACGCTAAGGGTTGTTGCTGTTGTTTTACTTGAACTGGGATTGTGTTGTCAAGCGCTAGCCAGGCCCCCCGTCGTGTGAATGGCACCGCAGTCGGACTCTCGATCGCCCGCGCTAACGACGGGGAGGACGGCCGCGGGTCATTCGAAATCGCCGATAATCCAAAAACGTTACCATTTACCACGGATCTCTATGCCAAAAACCACTCATATAGGCATACATTCTGAACAAATACCAATGATCGACCGATCAATTATGTGCGTGCTCAGTGATAATAACACTTTCCTGCTACCGCCCAGCAGAAGAGTCCGCCCGCGAAGCGGATGACAGCAAAGCCACAGCCAATCAACATCAATCAAACTCCGCCCCACTGTTGCAAAGATATTGCAACTACTGTACGGTAGAGGCGATTGCGTGGATTTCGGATTAACTCGGAGCAGCATATTTGTTCGGTTTAAGCACCACGTGGCTTGTAGTAAATATTTACAAGAACGACAATGTACAACAGTTTGTAGATGATTAATTTAGGCTACAGGGGAAAATCCACAAATTATTAATTCACGCCTAAATGTCAGGTGCACGGTTAACCCGCAAATCGGACAAACCACGCACGGATAACTGAGAGTCTTACTTAGCAGGAGAACGAGGGAGGGGAAGGGAGACCGTGGCAGCTGCCACTTGGGAGCTTGGCGTCCGCATGGCGATTTGGCGTTGGGCACAGGATACGCAAGAGTGCAGTGGCCCTCCCCAACAGCCCAGGGGGTTACTACGCTGACGATCGCGCTCATCACACGCACAAAGCGCTTGCCACGAGTGAACCACGATACCACGCCGATCTCATCAGGGAGCAATAAACCATCACCACGCCAACCCCGGTCGTCATCCTCATAGCGGCTGTTGGCAGACCATCAAACGAAGACGGCGGTCGCCGCATCATCGTCGCACGGCGCTTTCAGATGCGCTGCTTCTCCTTCTGCTTCTGCAGCCGTCTGGAACGCTCTTCCATTCCGATATTAGGAAGCCACTGGGAGCTACAGTATGATGCACTTTTAAATCTAAAACTAAATTCTTCAGAAATTGCTTTTTCCGTTTAGTTTGTCGTCCTTCGCCGGCACCTCGGATTAGCACGGTTGGCTACGTACGGTGCGAAAGAAGTTCACCGTGCATACACATGCACAGCACGGTTAGCTACGTGCGGTGAGGAATAAGTCGGTGGTGGCGGTGGTGGCAGCGTTGGTGGCGGCGTTAGTGATTGTGGTGGTGTTGTTGTTGTTGTTGGTGGGGAGCGGTAGTGTAGCGGTTAGCGCTACGCTGCACTATGAACCTGGCGACCCGGGTTCGATTCCCGCTCACGGCCAACACCAGTGACAATTATCTGAACCGGTTTCCGGGCCTCCCCTAGGTCGACTCAGCCTCAAATGAGTACCTGGTGCGGTGTGTAAACATTGCCACTAGGGAGACAAAGGCGGTCGGGCGTGGTGCTGGCCACCCACCCCCTCGTGTACCGTTCCGGCCTTCATTGGTGCTCGCTAACAGCACTTGCCCCTACAATCTGTTAAGGCTATACGGGGGATCTTTGTCTTTGTTGTTGTCGTAGAGGTGGGAGATATTTTAGTGGTGGGAAACGGGAGGTTAGGAAAGAGTGATTCCCCCCCCCCCCACCCCGGGTTGAGAGTAAATGGCTGCTCTAAAATTCCACATGATAAGGCAACTTCGTCGAGTTATAATTTGTGACAGCCAGAATCGCTTCTGAAAAAAGGGCTATACAGGAGCTCATTTGTGGGGCCCTTTTTGGTCAAATAAAAAAAAATGTTTAATTTTTATTTTAGTTTTACAAGGGTAGTTAAGGGGCCCGAGTTCTGCTGTGGCAACGCACGTGTTGCTGATTTAATATCGGATGAAGCAGGCGGCCAGTAACCTGCCTTGCCTAAGCCAACTACCAGAACGCCAGCAGTGAAGCCAAAACAGCAAGGAATTGAGCCTGGGCAGTGCCAGGATGGGTGACAGCCAAACGTAAATGTTCGTGTTGCAGGCCGTCGTAAATTGGACTGAGACTGCGTCTTCTTTAAAGTTGAAGGAGATGACGCGAGTGAACGCCGGTGATGATGCTTCGTCGTGCCCTGTTCCGTTGTTAAAGGCCAAAATTGTCTTTCCTCTCTGCCTGCCTCTCTCTCTGCCTCTCTCTCTCTCTGGACAGGGTGTCCGTCAAGGAAGCCAGAGCGTGGAGCGAGTCCCTGGACCGACTGCTCAGCCATAAATGTGAGTCGAGATGAGAGGCTCTGGAATCGGCTGGGATGCGTGGCGAGGTTGCGGGACCACTCGCGCTCGCTTGTGCGTGTATGGGGGGGGGGTGGTACTGTAGTGTAGCGGTTAGCGCTACGCTGCGCTACCCTGCGCTACCAACTCCTGCGACCCGAGTTCGGTTCCCACTCGCGGCCCCCGAGACCCGATGACGATTATCTGAACCGGTCCTGGGCCTCCCCTTAGGTCGACTCCGCCGCAAATGAGGACCTGGTGCGGTGTGGAGTAAACATTACCACTTGGGAGACGAAGGTGTCCGGGCGTGGTGCTGGCCACCGACTCCCTCGTGTGCCGCGCCGACCTTTATAGCTGCTGCTACTCGCTAACAGCACTTGCCCCAACAGTCTGTTAAGGCTACAGGGGCGGTCTTTGTCTTGGTTGAACTTTTTTGACACCGATGAGAACGGTTGGCTACGTACGGTGCTCAAAGAAGTTAAAACACGCGCACACACGCGCAGCTCAGCTCATCGCAGGCGCCTCAACCTGCCGTATCAATGTGTTGACAGGAGATCAAAGCCCGATTTGATTATCTTGGCCTCTTTAGCATTTCTCACACACACACACATCACATCGCACTTCTCATCCGCAGACATCTTTATTTTGTCAATACACTGCTGGATGACGGCGAGCTATAGAGGCTATGTCGATAGCGCTTCAATGACCACCCTGGTCAGCGTGACTTGGTGGCAGTGTGAGGCATAGATGAGTGGAGCACAGAAGTACAGTACAATATACATTTTCCTGCGCTGCCGTTTCCTGCCTACAATGTAGCCCAAAACTACAAACTATTTTTATTTTACCAGGTAAGGGCATGAATTTTGATTTGAAGCTTTCGTGACTGCAGGGATTCATATTCTTGGTTCTTTCAAAAGAACCAAGAATAGGTAAGGGCATGTGCATTTTAGAGTAAATTGCTGCTATAAATGTTCACTTGATGGTAAGGTCACTTTCTTTGGGCTGCCATTTGTAATAGCCGGGTCAGGGCTTCTGAAAAAGAGAAACGCAGCCGAGTGGGCCCTTACCTGGTCAAATAAAAAAATAGTTTAAGTTTAGTAGAGGTCTTTTTCAGAAGCGATCTGGCCACGAATGATAGCTCAACGAAGTGGCTTATCACGTGGAAATCTATAGCAGCCAAATAGCTTGTTACGCACGTTGATTCCAACTGTGGAGGGAAAATCCGGAGGACCCGGAGAAGAATCCACGTGACCACGGGGAGAGAGCGACACTCAAACTCCAAAAATGCAGCAGGCGTTCGTTCGTGTTGGTATCAAACCCACGACATCCTGTATACCACCGTTAAGATGTTCAAACACGGAATAGATACGCATATTGCAAGGCATCAAGTCTGCGTTGCCCACACACATTACTTGCGGCAAAAACATGCACACAACCATGCTCTGATAAAAAAAAAAAAAATCATGTCCGCATTGTCTTTGAAACTTGATTGGCCAACACCATTGACTGCCTTCTTCATGGCGTTGTCTCTGCACCACCAGTGTCGGGCCAGAGAACGCCAAAAGGCGAACAGTAACAAAGACGAAGCAAGTATCAGAGCATTCATAGCTCAGGTTGGGTGGTTGTACGGTGTTTGAACATCTGAACACAACTGCTGTTTCATTCCCAGAAAAGGGTAAAACCCCTACCCTTGTGTTGTTTTTTTCCCATCCAGCAATGATCCAGCCTCAACCCCGCTTGGCTTCCGAGATTCTGACGCGTTCCCGCGGGAGGACTTTAGGTCGACGGGCGATTATCGCGCGCGTTCGGAATGTCTCAGCTTGGCGGCGAGCGAAACGATTTAAAGAGCTGTCGTCTTTTTTTTTCGTCTTCTCTCTCATCTTCCGGGGGCCGCGGTTTAATTTTTTTCCTTCCACAGATGGGCGGGTGGCATTCCTCGCTTTCCTGCGTACGGAGTTCAGCGAGGAGAACCTGGAGTTCTGGCTGGCGTGCGAGGAGTTCAAGCGCATGAAGGCCGAGTCCAAGCGCCTGGCGCAGGCACGCAAGATCTACTCGCAGTTCATTGCCAACCACGCTCCCAAGGAGGTGAGCCAAATAAGAGTCAGGACTCTGCGTGCGTGCGTGTGTGTGCGTGTGTGTACGTGCGTGTGCGTACGTGCGTGTGCGTACGTGTGTGTGCGTGTGTGTACGTGTGTGCGTGTGTGTACGTGTGTGTGTGTGCGTGTGTGTGCGGAGTGGTGGTGCAGCAGTTAGCGCTACGCTGCGCTACGAACCCCCGGCCACCGGAGTTCTATTCCCGCTCACGATCGAAACCAGCGACGATTATCTGAACCGGTCCTGGGCCTCGCCTAGGTCGACTCAGGCTCAAATGAGTACCTGGTGCGGTGTGTAAAAACATTGCCACTGGGGGAGACAAAGGCGGTCGGGCGTGGTGCTGGCCACCCACCCCCTCGTGTGCCATGCCAGCCTTCATTAGGTGCTCGCGAACAGCACTTGCCCCAACAGTCTGTTAAGGCTACACGGGGGATGTTTGCCTTTTGGTGTGTGCCTGGCCACGTTTTACATTTATGGAATGCATTCCCGGGTCCAACCTTCTTATGTAACAAACACAACGCGTTCATCAATGACACCTCCTTAAGAAGAAAAAAAAGTGTATATATAAATATTGTATCATAGGCAACATTCCAAACAGTGTCCCTTATTCAAAGATGACTACTTATGTACGTCAGAACGCGATGGCTTAAAATCTCACTGTCCACTGCTGTGTGTTTTGATGTGGGGAGCGGTGGTGTCGTGGCTAGCGCTACACTGCGCTACGAAGCCCCGTGACCCAAGTTCGATTCCCGCTCACGGCCAAAACCAGTGACGATTTTCTGAACCGATTCACGGCCTCCCCTAGGTCGACTCGGCCTCAAATGAGTAGCCGGTACGATGTGAAAAACATTGCCACTGGGAAGACAAAAACGGCCGGGCGTGGTGCTGGCCACCCACCCCCTCGTGTGCCATGCCAGCCTTCATAGGTGCTCGCGAACAGCACTTGCCCCAACAGTCTGTTTGTCTTTTCTTGTGGGGAGTGGTGGTGTAAGCGGTTAGCGCTGTTCTGCACTACCATCCCTGTCTTTGTTTTGTTATGGAGATTTGAAATGTTTTCACTCGTTTAAACTACTTTTAAACTTCGATTTAAATTTCGATTTAAACTATTTGTATTTTATCAGGAAAGGCCTACTGAGCTATGTAGACCTGACCACAAATGATCGCTCAACAAAGTGGCTCATCACGTGGAAATGTATATATTTATAACTCTAAATGCATGTTTGTAAATGTGGAGAGAAAAACATGGAGAAAAAATCTATTCGGCCATGGGGAGAGAGAGAGACACACGCAAACTTCAAATATACAGCAAACGTCAGGGTCTGGATCAAACCCACGACCTCCTGTATACCAGGCGAGGTAGTTAACATCTCCTAGGCACCGGAATGACGATGATGATAGAGAGAAAAGCAAACTCCAAATATACAGCAGCAGGCATCGTCAGGGTCGGGATCGAACACATCCAATAGCCATCGTGGCGCCTTTAACTCTCAATTGGATGTATACACAGTAAAACCTTGGATTGCGAGCATGATTCTTTCCGGAAACGTGTTTTGTAACCCAAAGCACTCGTGTATCAGTTGTGATCACGTGACGCTCGGCAGTACAAAGCGTAGACACGTGCTACTACTCGTATTGCAAGACCCTCGCTCGTTTATCAAATTAATATTCATTTTAAATGTTTGCTCGTCTTGCAAAACGCTCGCAGGCCAAGTTACTCGCAATCCAAGGTTTCACTGTACATTCAACTTCTTTTGCACCACCGTACGTAGCCAAGGACAACCAAACAGGCGAGCGGAACACAAAGGGCGAGGATTGTCTCTGCAACATTTCAATGTCACCGTTGATCCCACGCTCCCACAGGTCAACCTCGACTGCCTGACGAGGGACGCCACGGAAGCCGGGCTCCCGGGGGCGGCTCCGGGGGCGTTCGAGCCGGCGCAGAAGCGGATCTACGGCCTCATGGAGCGCGACTCGTACCCCCGCTTCCTGCTCTCGCCGCTCTACGCCCGGCTGTCGGGCCGGGCCGGCCGCCGCGACGACGACGATGCCGCCTGAGCGTGGGCGTTGCAGGACCTGGGGAGCATCGTCATTGTTCCGAACTGTCGTTCTGGGCGGGAACGGCACCCAGCCGCGATGCATCACGGCTGGGGCCGTCGCGTTCAAGCCGAGGGAGGGAGCCGCGATTGAACTTTTCAGAGGTTTATTTTTTTACACGACTCTTTTTCGTTTTTCCCCGCTCCTCGGTCTTGGGCGAGCGAACTCGCCTCCCGGAACGTGCTCGCGGCACGGTGGTGACGCTGACGAAACGCCACAACGTCAAAGATCCCCCGTGTAGCCTGCAACAGACTGTCGGCGCAAGTAGTGAGCAGCAGCAGCAGCGCCTGTGATGGCCAGAATGGCGCAGGAGGGGGTGGGTTGGCCAACGCCACGCCCGGTCGCCTTTGTCTCCCTCAGTGGCGATGTTTACTGCACACCGCACCAGGTACTCGCTTGAGGCTGAGTCGACCTCGGGGAGGCCCAGAACCGGTTCAGATAATGGTCACACGGTGTTGGCCGTGCGCGGGAATCGAACTCGGGTCGCCGGGGTTTCTTTGCACAACGCGCTCACCGCTGCAACCGCTCCCCACCCCACTGATGCAACACGAACAACACCAACAAACAGCCACCATTCGCCACCAAGTGTCGCGGTGACGCTCACCACAGTGCCTGCGCCAGGCCAAGTGCACTTGTGAGGTCCCCCAAGCGTCCTGAAGCTGAGAGCCTCGGGCCCATGCACTATCCATTGGGTAGTCCCGAGCCTGGTGGTGGAAAAAAGTCCATCGCATTCCTGCGGTGCGTGGGGAAACACCACGCCTCTTCTTCTCGAATGACAACCGGATTCGTGGCTTCAATCGAGGTTCATCATCATTGGTGGATTCTGGGGGGGGGGGGGGGGGGGGCGAGGATCTGAACGCATGTACAACATTCCCCCCCGTTTGCGAAGAAACGCCCCGGCTCTGCCTCGCCACTGTGGCTCAGACAATTTCTGCGGAGGTGGCGGTGGGGCGTGGAAAAATGTTTGGTTTGGCTTTGGCCTCACAAGAGATGAACAACAAACAGAGGTCGACCGTCGCCGTTATCGTCGTCACGGGAGGAACGGGAACCTCCGTAGCTCTCGGCCGCTTTAGGAACACGCACGTGTATGTGTGTGCGTGTGGGTAGCGGTAGTGTAGGCGGTTGGCGCTCTGCCGCACTACCAGCCCGGGGACCCGACGTTGGATTCCCGCTAACGGCCACCGACACCGGTGACGATTAATCTGAACCGGTTCTCGGCTTTCCCCTAGGTCGACTCAGCCTCAAATGAGTACCTGGTGCGGTGTGTAAACATCACCACTGGGGAGACAAAGGCGGCCGGGCGTGGCACTGGTCACCCACGTCCTCGTGTGCTGTGCCAGCCTTCATCGGTGCTACTCGCTGACAGCACTTGCCCAAACAGTCTGTTAAGGCTACATGGGGGATCTTTGTCTTTGTGCAAGTCAGGACACCGCGGGCGGTGATCCAAATGTCGCTTGTGTTGACACTCGCTCACACACGCACACACACACGCTCACACACGCACACACGCACGCTCACACACGCTCGCACACACACACACGCACACACAAACAGCAGCCCGACGAAAGTCGGCGAGACAACGGTGAAAGCGGGGGATGTGGCAATGCCACAAAAAAACGAGTTGTCATTGGGAGATTGTCGATAACCAACCAATGATTAAATGAACCCGATCATTGTCGAGGCAAAGAACCACCCCGTTAAGCCTGACAAATACTTTGTTTGGGCATTACTGAGTCACAGGCAGCTTTGCACAGCAGTACAACTTGTAATGTATGTACGGGATCTTTCGTTTCCTCCCAGTATCAAAAAGATGATGATAAAAATAAGAACCGGCGTCATATGCCCTTTCTGGCAGTAAAACAGGAAATTTATAGCAGCCAAATTTACTCTAAATGCGTGTTGTTTATAAATGTGGAAGGACAAAATCGGAGGACCTGGAGAAAAATCCACGCGTCTGCAGGGAGAGAGACGCAAACTCCAAATATACAGCAGCAGGGGTCAGGGTCGGGGTCGAACCCACGACCTCCTGTATAGCAGGCGAGGTAGTTAACATCTCATAGCCACCGTGGTGATGATGATGAGAGAGACGCAAACTCCAAATATACTGCAGGTGTCAGGGTCGGGATCGAACCCATGACCTCCTGTAGGCCAGGCGAGGTAGTTAACATCTCACAGCCACCGTTAAGATGTTCAAACACTAAATAGACACACACCTATTGCAAGGCATCATCAAGTTTGCATTAAGTAAACACAGTACTTGTGATGAACATGCGAACATACATGGTTCTAATAATTATAATGTATTGTATTTGACACTGATTGGCCTACACCAGAGACGGCAGCTTTCTTCATGGCCTTGCCTTTGCAAGCAGTTGTAACAGGACAAAATGAATCCGTGACAGAATTAATGATACCTTATGTTAATGTTGAGGACCATATAAGGAATATACTTAAACAGGAATCTACAGATTTTTGTTACGATACAAAGATTGATCCTTACTCGAACACACACATGTATTAAAAATATCATACGCTTTATCTGTGCTCGAGCACCGATTGAGCACCGATCAAGCATAGATCAAGCTGTGATAGTTTGCATACCTGTGTGTATGTGAGCGTGGATGAAGCTGGGACAGTTTTAGTACGATATTTTAAATCGTTAAAGTGATTCCTGTTACATGATATCTGGATCTAAAGTGACGATTTTGTGGACCGAAAAAGCCCACACTAGGCCGCAACCTTGACGCTGATTGGCTTTCTTATGCATTAACATAATTTAGAATTCATTCTGTCGCGGATTCATTGTATCCTGTAACAGTGCCCTCCCAAAACCCCCTTTGCGAACCCCACCCACCACTGAATGGGGAGCTCGCTTCTGTCGGTTGGAACTCCACCCCCTCTCCATAATGGAGGTGCATTGCATTTGAAGATCTGGCTGTCGCCTCTGGCTGCATAGCTGATGATGCTGGTTGTAATTACTGGCGAAACGTTGCACTCGAATTGGAAATGTTGCAACTAATTGGCACGTTTTGTTCACGTGACAAACCTTGCTAATTGGCTGTGTCGGGTGGTGGCGAGTTTAATGACACGTTTATATTTACGCGATTTAACTCAAACACTTACATTATGGTTCACCCCCTCTCTCGGCAAACTCCACCCCCTCCCCACACACACACACTCACACAGACCTGTTTGAGTCTAAGTTCGAGACCGTTTTTTCTTCCATTGAAGGTTCGAGACCACTGTTCCCACACAGCACGCTAATCTTGTGCAGCATCATGAGGTTAAACGTTGCATTTAAATGCGGTGTAAATGTTAATTTCCATTGCCCCGTTTTCACACACAATCGTCAGTGGCACCACGATCTTGGATGTGTATGTATGTATGTCGAACGTCTTCCGCGCCACCATACGTAGCCAACCGTGCTAATCGGACTAAACACAAAAAGCAGTTCTAAGAAAATAAAGGAGTTTGTCAATTTAGGTGATGATTTAAAAGTGCATTGCTCCAGGGGCTTCCTAATATCGTACGGAAGAGCGTTTTCAGACGGCCGCAGAAGCGCATCTGAAAGCGCCACTCGATGCAGCGACTACCATGTTTGTTCCACGGTTAGCGAGAAGCCGCGGCTTTGCCGATGGATGTTGTTGACCGCACAGAGCCAGGCGCTGGTCGGGTACATTTTTGTTTTCATGATCCGTTAAACTGGATCACGTGGTTTGCTTAGAACACTGCCGATGTCGGTGGACAGAACAAAGTTGAGGCCCTCATTTCGAATGCCGAACCACCCACGCACGCCATCGTCTGGCTGCATAGCTGAACCCTCGTTAGCAAAACACTGGGGACGCAATGAGCTGCTTTATTTAATGACACTCACCAGATGTTATTGTTTTTATCTGGAGAACATTTTGTCTCTGTTGTTGTTGTTGTTACGCACGTGAATCTCAAGTCTAGGTCTGGCTGTGCCAACCTATGCCGCACTCGTCAAACGGTGACATGTTGCGTTCGTGTTACAGCATTTTGTACATCCTGAATAAATTTACAAAAAAAAACAGCCGAGAGAATCACCCTTCGCCTTGGTTGACCGTGCACAATGTGCGTCCCCTCGACCAGATTGAGTATGGGAACTCCTCTACTTAGGAACGAGTTAGGTTCCAGAGGTCTGTTCGTAAGTCCAATGTTACTCCTGTCCATTCCAAACGTGTTGTACGGCGTGTACACTAAACACGGGGAATGGCTTAAAAAGTTGTATAATCTCCTGTAGATGTAGATCCCACTGGTTCTTCACGTTCTGTCGATGTAGATGCCACTGGGTCTTTACGTTCTGCAGATGTAGATCCCACTGGTTCTTCACGTTTTGTCGATGTAGATGCCACTGGGTCTTTACGTTCTGCAGATGTAGATGCCACTGGTTCTTCACGTTCTGCAGATGTAGATCCCACTGGTTCTTCGTGTTCTGCAGATGTAGATCCCACTGGTTCTTCACGTTCTGCAGATGTAGATGCCACTGGTTTTTCACGTTCTGCAGATGTAGATGCCACTGGTTCTTCACGTTCTGCAGATGTAGATGCCACTGGTTCTCCACGTTCTGCAGATGTAGATGCCACTGGTTCTTCACGTTCTGCAGATGTAGATGCCACTGGTTTTTCGTGTTCTGCAGATAAACTTCACTCCCGTCTATTTCAAAAGTGTTGTACGGGGAATGGCTTTAAAAGTTGTATAATCTCCTGTAGATGTAGATGCCACTGGTTCTTCACGTTCTGAAAATGTAGATGACACCACCGCCATCTATTGCGCGGCTGTTGAACTTGCGACTCGGTTCAAACAGGCAACTGGACATATGTTTGTTTCTCTGAAAAAGTCGAATGTTCGTAAATAGAGGAGTCCTTGTACGTTTAATATTCTCACCATTATTACTGGCGCAATGAGAAGGAGGCTATCATGAAGGCTCAATGCTTGACCGATAAGTATTAGCCTGCCTGGAGAGGAGATATCTTTTAACGTGATTCTTTCCCCAATGATATAAACTGCAAATTACGTGTTTATTTTACCAGGTAACGGCCCACTCAGCTGCTATGTCGCTCTTTTTCCGAAGCGACCTGGCAATCACAAACGATAGCAGCCCAACGTCGTGGGCTTATCGTCATCACCATCATCACGTGGAAATGTATATCAGCAGCCAGATGCTCTAAACCCGTGATGTTGGTTCGAAATGTGGAGGGGAAAACCGAAGCACCCAGAAAAAACATCCACACGACCACGGGGAGAACGTGCAAACTCCAAATATACAGCAGGCG